TCCTCCAATCCCCTCCCTCCTTATTTACAAATGCTTTGCTTCCATTTTTTCCTTCTATTCTCTTTTTAATCATGGCTAGTTGGAGTTCTATATGCCTCACTTCTCTGTATGTCCAATTCTCTACCTCTGTCTGGGAAGTTTTCCACTATTACTTCTGTGAACAGTTTTTTTATGTCAATTGTGCTTTCTCCTGTTTTTTCATGGACTCCTATCAGTCTTATGTTATTCTTCTTTGTATCGTCTAGCAGTTGTTGGATTGATTTCTCGTGATCCCTTACTATTTTTAAGAAATCTCTATTTTCATGGTCTCTAACCATGATTCTGTCCTCTATATCTGATATTCTATCTTCAGATTCCCTTAATCGGCTGTGGATACTTTCAGTGGAGTTTTTGATCTCCTGAATATCTGTTTGAATCTGTTTCATGGATTCCATTTCTTTCTTATGCTGGGTATTCATGGCTTCCAGCATGTTTCTGAGCTCATGTATTTTTTTTTATCTGTTTCTGTTCTAGATCCTCTAATCATGTCTTTCATTCTGCTCACCATCTCTGTAGATATCTGGGAGATTATTTCTGCTGTGAATTTTTCTAGAGCCTCATTCATATGTTTTGTTACTTCCTGTGCTATCAGTTCAGGGTATCCAGGTGGTTGGTTATGGGACTTTTCCATCTCATTTCCCTCAGGATTTACCCTTGATGGGTTGGAAGTCTGAGTTTGTCCCTTGCTTAAATGTCTTCTCATTTTTGTTTTTGGTACTGTCCTTGGTTTAACTCCTGGGTTGATAGTTTGAAATTGCTTATTGTAGGTATCTTTGTTGCTTGTAATCAGAACCCTTATGGAATTATTGTTTCTCAGGGGTGTCTTCCAGATATAGCTGGTCTTTAAGTTTTGAGTCTCTAATGACCCTGAAGCTGTCTCATTTTCCTTATACTAGGAAGGTTCATTGACTAGATCAATAACAACACCTTAGCCCAAGTGATACAATCAGCAACACCACTGCATCGAGTACATCTTCGAAAATGACATTTTGTGGTAGTTATTTTATTTTATTTTTTTGGTACTGGGGATCGAACTCAGGACCTTGCACTTGTGAGTCAGGTGGCGGAACCACTGAGCTAAATCCCCGGCCCTTGTGGTAGTTATTAATCTATCACCTTTAGCTGTGTGAATTAAATCAAGATCGAGGACCAACCCAACATACAGTGAATAAACTCTTCAATATCACAACTTTACCCTTTGGGATGGGGAGTTAGAAGGGGTTGGGGAGGGAGGGAGAGATGGGAAGAAGGATAGGGGAAGGTTAGCAGTGAGGCCAGAGGACACAGGTGAGAAGGAAAAAGAGAATAATAGGAAAATAAAGAACTCTGACTGAGGACCAAAATGGACAAAAAGGGAGATGAACAATGTGGGAGAGCAAGAGAGTGAGTGTAAGAGAGAGAGAAAGGAAAGAGAAAAGAAAGAAGAAAAGAAAAGAAAAAAGGAGAGAAAAACAAATATTTGCAAAGAGTAGGAAATAAATTAAAGATAAGAGGAGCAAAAGAAAAGAAAAGAGGAAAAAACCCCCAAACTAATAAAACTAATTTTGGGAATAAAAAAACAATGAAGATGTAGGGCCTCTTTCAGGGCATGTCTCTGCTGTCACAATAGACAACGTGGGTTGCAATGTGCGGATATAAGTCAATGGGTCTCAGCAAGCCAGTCGCAGACCCATGAGATTCAGGCAGATTTCCAGCTTCAAGTCCCAAGTTGAGCTCCCTGTCCTCCCGGAGGGTTGAACTCTGCAGAGTTGTACTGCAGGTTCCAGCTGCCCTTCCCCTGAGGATAGACCCGGACCTGATGGAAGGTGAAGATGACTCCAACTTACCCAGGACAGTGGTCTGGTGGTCTGGTGTCCTCTGCGTCTTTGAAGTGTGGAGCCAGGTGGCTGTCTGTCTGCAGCGGGCCGATTTGGTGTGTTCCATGCGACTCGTGACCTCAGTAGGGCATCCCTCTATTCTCTTTTAAAATTTTCCCTTCCTTTCTCCCCCACTTTGTTCCCTTTCCCATTTGAGCATTTTCTTCCTATTTCTCAATATCTATTATATATTTTGGTCCTTATTTACCTTTTTGGTTTCTCACACCAGAGAAACTATGCAATATTTAAACATGTGTCTGATTTATTTCATTTAAGCGTATAGTCTCAAGGTGCATCCATTTACCTAGAAGTGTCTCAAGTCTGTCTTTCTTTATGGAAGAGTAGTATTTCATTGTATAAAAAACCACATCTTCTTTATCCATTTATTGTTTGATGCAGCCTGAGCAAGACTATCTTTAGGAAGACTCTGTCTCTAAATAAAAAATAAGGAGTGCTGAGGATGTAGCTTAGTGATAGAGCACCCCTGGTTCAATCCACAGTACTGGAGGGGGAAAACCAGGAAAAATTTATTTTGGCTTACAGTTTCAAAGGGTTCAGTCAGTAATCCTGGCCAGTGCCAGTTCCAGGAGCCAGAGGCCAGAGGAGGCCAGTAGGAAGAGCGCCTGGACATCCAGATTTTTTCTGGAGGGTCACTACACTGCCAACACATGCTTCCATCCTGTTGCATCTTCCATTGTAAAGGAACTGGGTTCCATCCATCCCAGTCCAGACCTGAGGCTGGGATTAGTGGCTGGGAGTGTAGCCTCTGGGGAGGAAGAGAAGAGGGAGAGATTGTCTTGCAATAGAAATAGCCGTCAGTTTCTTGACATTTCCTCGCTGCCACAGGCTTTCAAAGCAATTAAAAATTTTTCAGCATCTAAAGGTAATATATTTATGAAGTACAAAAAGGGGGGATAACCAGTTAAAATCTCCCCTTGTCCTGAGATATTTGACATATTTACAAAAATATGTACATATGCTTCTGAATCACATGGTAACTTACCCGATGAGCTTCTTTCACTTAATAATATACCAGCTGTACACATAATTTCCCATGTGTCTGCATAGGAAGCTATGTAATAGCTACATACATATGTCAGAATTTACTTAGCTAGTCTTCTAGCAATGGGAATCTGGGCTGCTTCCAAACATTGCTATTATAAGCAATGTTGCAAAGAATATCCTTGTACAAACCTCATTGCTTGTGTTGCAGAACTCAACGTTTTTCTATAGTTGAATTTATCATGCTTTTATTAGTTTCTGGCTTTAGGTGGAACTTGATAAACCCTTACCTATCTGGTAATTAAAGAAAAAAATTCCCAGCTTTTCTTTTAGTATTTTTTTGCTTGAGTTTTCTTTTGTGTGTGACCTTGACATCCAGGTTAGTGTGGAATGCTCCCATCCTCTGCCAGGCACTTCAGGGAATTGCTGTCATCACAGATCTGAGACCTAAGTTTTGGTTTGACATCCACAGTTTACAGGTGAGAAGACAGAGGTAGAGAGAGGTTGTGGCACATGGCCCGGGCCCAGCTCACACAGGAAGGAATTAGAAACTAGCTTCCACTCGATGATCTTACCCTTTATCATAACAACAACAGCCTTTATTTTGAGACAGGCAATTACTAAATAAACAAAACCATTTTCTATTTCAGACAGTTTTAAATTTAGAGAAAAATGTTGAGGATGCTACAGTTTTTTCCACACCTCAAACCCATTTCCTCTATTAACATCTTCCCCATATTTCTCACAATTAATGAATCATTATTAATAAATGATTTCTAACTATATTT